CACAACAAAGCTAGTTGACATAACAGAGATATTAGACCCATTACTGTTTGAGAAATTACTGTGTAAACTTCAGTCAAATTGCCCAACTGTTATGAACATTTTAGAACAACTTGTTCTATCTCCAAACATCAGCTGAAACACTCAAAGAACAGAAACAGTGAAACTAAAAGCTAGTGTTCACCTTCTGGCATCGCTCATGGATGTGCGAGACAAGAAAGCTAATGATATTCCTCTGCTATTTGGGCCTTTATGTATATGTTATGGGGCAGGCCCATCAATGATAGAGCTTTTACAGCATCTTGGATTGTCAGAGTCATATCCAGTTATGTGAGTTTGTCGTTCTATTTTGTTATCAAGTTGCATTTGATTATTATATTTTTGGCATCAGTGACTGCAGATTTAGGCAAATACATTACTTCCACACAGTTTATTTCAAACTTTACTCAGACAATTGTTTAAAGTCTTCTGAATACAACTTGTCTAAAGGAACTAGTCAGAATAGTTAGTAACTAAAATGACATTTAAACTCTAGCCTGGATGGTTCCTGTTTATTTGAAAGATTATCAAGTATAGTTATCTTACTTATTATCTGTCATTTTGATGTAAAGATGTAAAGTATTGGAGTATCAGCTCCAAAACTACAGAGCATTGATAAAACAGCGAGTAAGCGACGACACCCCTGTCATAACATACCAAGACAACATGCAACTCATGCGCACTTCATTAAGGCACCTGAGACTGTCAAAGCTGAAGGCTGACAAGGATTCACAACAAAAAATGTGTGATTTTACAGTCAGAGGGTACAGAATTGCAGACATAAGTGGTATTGAGAATCTGTTTCAGAAAAAGGAAAATGCTTTGGAACCTCAGATGAGCCTGAGTGATCTTGAATACAAAGACATCACAATGGGTATGTGTATTCCAAAATATCAGTAATAGGAGATTTTGAAATGGGACAAGTATATTGAGGCAGTATATTWGTGATTTGTAGACATAAGTAATAAACAGACTTCATGTTAAAATTCATAACAGATAAATTCAAAACTATTTTATATTTAAAACCTATCTATAGCAGTGGTTGTAATAAGAACAGGATAATTCTCACAAATTGTTTCAATCTTTCCGTAGAAAATAACGTAGGTCACAGAATGCTATGGGAAGATTTTAAAAAGAGAGATTTGCTGAGGAAGTTTGATGTTGCATTGAACGATGTTAAATTGAACAGCGCAGATCTGTCAAATGCTTCCTTGGAGGAAACTAAGCGTTTGGCAGCTTTACCTGAAGCATCAGACAGCAATCGTCCATTCAAAATTGACGTACCCGAAACGCCRGTTGAATATCCAGATTTGGCTAAAAAGAAGACACCCATCTTCCCACTACCTATTAGCCAAGAAAACCAATGTCTCACAGTTGGGCTCGCTCAAAATTTAGATATGTTTAAGGATGAATTCGGATTTCACATATCTGAGAAGAAGAAGTTCCTTCTCTTAAAAAAAAATAATGACTTTGATCTTGATCAAGCATATGCAAGATTTGCTTTCTTAAAGTCTTTGGAAAGGCATAAAGAAAAACAAAGTATTTTAAATGCAACTTTAAGGGGAATAAATATCCAGGAAGAGTGTTCACTTGTTTTTGTGGAGCAAAATGAGAGTGACAGTGATAGCTCCGACGAAGACTGACATTTTCTTTAGTAGCAAAATTTGTAGTATCTAGAAAGATCTATCGATAAATAAATAGTAGTTAAATGTAAAKTTTGGATATACGTTTGATATAAATTTTGTCTTGTTTCCAGTTTGTTTCCTAAGTTTGTACTCTATCAACAGGAGAACTGCAAATTCMTTGTTAACATTTTCGATTTCGCGCCAAAATGACACATTTTCCCGCCAAAATCGGCGTGAGRACTTGGGAAGTCCAAAACAAGCTAGCTATGGATGTGTCTCTGTTAGATTGGGAAGAATTAAAGTCTAAAATCGGAATTKCACAAGTTAATAAGGAGCTCGATAGTAGAATCGAAAAGATCTATTTAGAATTGCAAGATTCTGCACAAGTATTGACACACAACACTTTGGTAGAGCAGCTACGTCTACGAGGAGAGCTGTGGCTTCGAGCTCTCAACCAGTACGAAAGGAACGTATTGCACTTAGCTGCTTTAAAAGGCAACTACGCGCTTACTAAGGCTTTGGTTAACTCTGGTGCATTCATTAACAGAAAAGATGGGATCGGTCAAACACCATTGACATTAGCTTTACATAAAGGACACGTAACTGTGGCGAAATGGCTGATAACAAATGGAGCCAGCATCCATGATGAATTCTACGATAACACAATCCCACCGTTCCAGATTATAAACAGTAAGCCAGAACTATCCCTTCTTAAAGACTTTGCCTCTTCAAGGTTGGAGTATGAGGCACGCATTTTGAAGCACGTAGAGAGTTTTTACAATGACGACTTTAAGACAAGCGAAGCTCCCAGAGAAATAGAAGAAACACAAAACGTAGCAGTAAACTTAAAGCGTGTGGTGAATATTAATGTAGGGGACCAAAAGAACACTGTGAACATTAAGGGTTGCATTAATCGTTGTCCAGATATGTGATTGCCATTCTCCTGGCGGAGGTGACTTCCATAATAGAGGGTATTTAAATGAGTCCATAGCGCGAATCGCCGGACATGGAKGATTTTGGCATGTCACGGAGAAGGTTCTGAAAAGACCCACGGTAAACCCATCTTCATTCAAAAAAAAATTCAAGGACAATAACTATAACAATAATGAGGAAGTGCTGGTAGATTATGACGATGGCTTTTCAATTGCAATGATCAAAGAATTTCAGAGTTCTAAGTTTTTTCCAACCCAATCCCAATTAGACAATTCTCTAACGACAAAAAAGTGTCACAATGAAATACTCCTAACAAAGTTCAAGGAGTGGACAGAGTATAACAGGACTAAGGACGAAAATTTTTCCTATCATCTCGATGTAGTTCAGAACCTTGTGCCCATAACGAGATGGTACAAAGAATCCGTGAGGAATGGCAATGGAATTGCAATAGAAGGTGTTTGGATGCTACTACCCCCTATATACTGTCAGGTTGAAAAAAACAACTACCGAGACGAGAGCTTCACACAGATCGTCAATTCAATTGCAAAGTGGCCCCTTGCTTACCGCRTGATGTATAGGCAAAACAGAACTGTGAATTTGAATGGCAGCGAAGGAAGACAATTAGCAGGCGACGAGTGGGTGGAGGGCGATTTAGTGAAGCCAGTAAAGCGTTATGCGTCAGCACAAACGTCCTTCAATATGTTAGAGATGATGTCCAGCAGTGTTAACAYTTTGGAAATGAATAGGAGAATGTACAAAAGTAGGGAAGCGTTTGACATTCACAGAACGCGAAAGCACCMAAATCCTTGTTCATTCTATGATCAACTACGCGTTGCACAATTTGCCTTGAACGAGAAGTGGTTCCAGAATCTTGAACGTCAAAGTGTTAAGGCGTATCCTTGGGCGGGGCACGACTGCAAAGAAGATGAAACAGTTCCCAGTAGATACATTAATTCTGAAAAAAGGGTCAAGAAAAAGCAGAGAAAGAGTTTCCCTTATACTTASAAAGGAAACATCCTAATGAAATGCTTTAATTTGAATACAATTTACTAGTCTCACACGTTTTTAAATCAATACGCAATTAAATGCCAGGTTCTAGACATCTGCTACAAAGTGAAAATAAGTTTGATTCTTCATTGTATTGTGTTAGTGTAAATCTTGGTACAGACTGATACATTAAGAGTCTTACCTCTTATGAAGGCTATCACAAACATTAAAATTAGTATAGAATGTCATGTGCTATTGTTCATGAGACAAAACTTGTGTATTGATGACTTCTTGCTAAGTGATACATAAACAATAAACAAGTTATGCTTTCAACTACTTTTTTACGGTGTTAAATTTATCTTTYTACGCAACTGTTTCTTTAGAAACACTGATGCAGCTCACACTAGTTTACCGCTAGTCACCTAATTGACATTATTACAATTGCAATYATGAATATTCATAAACTAATGAAATACAAACAGGATTGATCGATCTTACAACAATATTCTTGTAATTTGTCACTTCATTTCCTATCATTTTCTTATTTTTTTATGTGAAAAATTAAATACGTGTCCATATTTTGCATGAGAGTATGTTCAGTTATACAGGATACCAGTTGATATAATTGCAACACTACATTTAAACATGCATTTTTATCTTAAGGTAGTCGCACCGGCTATTTTTGGGTCATTTTCCTTCTTTTTTTCTTTTACATTCTAAAACGTTGTAAGGTCTATTTTACCTAAAATTGTTTTTTTTCCACGTATTTTAAGCGTTATGTGCGCTTTATAGCGATTCGAAATTTCGTATTTTACCGGAACAGGAAACAAAAATGAGCTACCGAGTCGCCAAGGAAGTTGGCAATTTGAAGCCATCACACCTTGTTCACACCTCGTCTTCCAACAAAAAACTAGTAGATCCAAGACTTTTCCCGCGTTTCCTGCGAACATGGCGTCCAGTCTAGCTGAAGCGACGAGGGAAGCTTCTTTTCAAGCTTTTGAAGCAGAATTTGTCAGAAATGGGTAGGTTTGAGCAACTCAATGAAATTGTATTGTTTCTACTGTATATCATGGAACGCGTTTCAATGAAAATCGACGCTAATTTTACAGTTTTAGAGCACCCGAAGGTTTGTTACGCATTTTAAAAGACTTTAAACTAAGAGATGGTGAGGGGCCAGAAGCGGGTAGAGCACGGATCTATCGACGTCTTTTTGGATTGTTGTGGGTGAGTATTTAGCGAGTTTATCTATCAGTTGTTGTYCCTTTCTAGTTATACGCATTTCCACAAACTAAMCTCGAAACTCGATCGCACGTGCGTATCTTTGCGATTATAGTGTCCGGTCGTCTTTGCAGTAAATAAGTTTACCTTTGTTGCTTTCCTCTCGGTCAATAAAGAAAATGCTTATGTAGAAGGGTKTTCTACTACCTGGACTTCAAAGCAAAAGTTGCATTCTTTTCTGGTATGCCTTCGAGTATGACAGCCTCCGATTTCTTGTTGCTCTCGTCACGTCAACACAGCTTATCAGTTGTTCAATCGTACATGGAAATTCGCTAGCTTCGCTAGCAATAATATTAATCAACTACATCCTTACTTSTCCTTACGGTCAACTTACCAATCCTGGTAAAACGGTACTGAAATGCAGAGCTAAGCAAGTAATAACGTCAACAACAGTAGTTYATCATGTCTTGTCACCTCGTAGCAAAACCGTGCCTATAAAGCGCCATTTGTGTCTTTATTTCTGAAGTCTGAATGATTTATTGAACTCGTAGAGTGAACGCACGTATTATATATTATACCTTCCACCATATCTAGTCCCCTTGAGGAATAAAACGTTTTGTATATTATGACTGACCAGCCTTTTTTATTTTATTTTTCAGTTTGGAAGTAAGTTGACTTTGGGGAAAACTTCAGATGGGAAACAGCCCACTTATGTGTACCCTGAATCCCTGAAATGTGTTGTCAGAAATATAGTATCTGGAAACCTCGTTGAAAAGCCAGACCCAACTCATGCAAGGGTATGTAGTGTCACTRAAAAACTGAACATATCATAAAATTTCAATACTTCTTTATATTATCATTCCAAAKCCGTTTAAAAGCCACTAAACTTATAAAACAACCAAAAAAGTAACAAAATYTATTCCTCCTTACTAAAAATGTTTTCAGTCATTATAAGATTAGTCAGTTCATTCAGTTCTTTCCTTCTTCAGGTCTATAAGGTCAACATTGCAGACCTTGCAAAAGCCAAATGGCCAGCAGTTAAACCAAGACAGTAATGGCTCCCTATCTATCAATTTATTCTTTTGATTTTATACATGTTTATAATACAGCAATATGCTRAAATTATGATCACTCATAATCCAAGTATATATAAGATATATCAGAAATTATTGTATATCATTGCCAATTTCTTTTTGAAGTTGCCTAGCACTAGTATCTTCTGGAAAAAAATTAGCGATGATATCCCATATTTTCTGATATATTTTATATATTCAAATATGARCAAAAAAGATCATAATTTCTTGATATTATGTTTAGTAATACAAGTTTTAAAAAAAACAGCAAAAACACATAAAAAACAAAACAATCATATATGTTACTGAGATGTTCCATTTGATTTGGCACAATAAATACCATGTATTTTTTATCAATTGTTTTGTAATGATTCCACAAATATGCAGTTCAAGAATACTAGCAATGTAATAGGAAATGACATTGAATAAGAATATTAAGTGTATGCAAAGACAATGCATTTTTTATCAATTTACACTAASTAATGTTTTTGTAAAAATACAGTATGATAAATTGTGTATGTGCAAGAATAGTAAAAAGCAATGAATTTTATCATTTGTGTTATTCACTATAACCAATGTTTCTGCAAATATGCAAAAAAGTTCACAGCAATGAAAAAAATAAGGATTTTGTGGTGATGTATCCTTGGACTTTTCCATGCAGCTATGCATAACCTTTTGTTGTGCTTCTTTTATACATCTTTTTGTGTATAAAATTTTGACATTGAAACAGTCCTGACCGTGCACGTCTTTTCCCTCAGAGATGGTTGAAATTGAAAAATGAGGGAACATGAACACTCTCTATGAGATTTTGATATGAAATATTTCAATATTTGGACAAAATCTTTTTGCATTTTGAAGAGCATTTTGATCATTCAGATGTGCCCAGTATGGCTAAAACAATGTAAACAATAGATTGTGCACTGCCACAATTGAAAAAAGTGAAAAAAAAATCAACAAAAGGCATCATAGCCATTTCCCTATACAAACTATGAGCATGTAAAGGGATGCAATATTGCTGCATGAACCACACAAYATTGTTGGATGTTGCTTTGTGTGATTACACAGGACTTGAAATTTGAATGGTTTCAACTTCATGAAACAACATCTAACATCAGGATGCAACAACGCTCAAATTTGATCGCTCATGAACAACAATAATGCATACATTCTCACAGTTCTCTAAAATAATTATGTAAACATTTGTTTATACATACRGTGGTCTGATCTCACCATGGTCAGGTGGCCCACAATACTCAATTGGACTTTTTATTAAAAGTGCATGAGCTATGACTTGTTCTTTGGTGGTCTGTGGATCCACACCTGCACTTTCTTCCACTGACAATAGTGGTGTCTTCATTTCCCACGATGTCTTCTGCCTGRGAAACCACTGCTCGGTCATCTTCTTCGTCATCTTCAATGTCGGGGTCACCATAGGTATGCAGGATCGCCTGGCGTTTAGTCCACTTTCTTCTTTCTTCTTGTTCCTCTGCTCTTGCTATCTTCTGGCAAATTCTTTGCTTCTTTCCCTTTTCAGAACTTTTTCTCTTCAGACTAGCCATGCGATCCTTGTTTGCTTTCTTTAGGGCAGTAATAACGGAAGATGTGACTGGCAGTTTTAGGCGTTCGTAAAGGTCTRACACCCAGTGGTAGTCTTGCCCTGCGTTCTTGTCACACCAGGTCATGTTCCCTTGTATAAGGCCACAGTTTGTCGATGTTATGTAGTGCAACCTAGCAAAAAAAAAAAAAAAAAAAAAAAAAAAAAAAAAAAAAAAAAAAAAAAAAAAAAAAAAAAATAAGAAAGAAAGAAAGAAAAAGCAAAGAAAGGCTTTACTTTTCAGTTTGTATTTGCTCCTCAAGCCTAGACATGCATTATGATAAATTGTTTTGTGAAAACCCCACGAAAAATGTTATCCAAATGATAGAAGAGGAGTGCAATTACATTTTTTAGATAGTACACAATCTTTTTCAAGCATTTATAAAAAAATCACTCTTACTGTGCAAACCATGTTTTCAAAATTATAAACATCAAAATTATATAACTAAATGTATTATATTATTGTCACTAATAAAACTAAAACCTGACACCTACACTTACAAAAGTACACAAAAATTYTAAAATCCATGAGAAGCTAAAACAATAACACCATAACACTAMAACAATAACATTAGCTACAATGCATCTATTGTTATTCTTACCTGCTAAGGCTTTGGCTCTTAGGACGGAAGTGGGGCAGAACCGAAAAGTGTGCCTCGCAGAGATTGGATTGACCCCGCCCCATTTCTGGATGTATGACTGAGTCTGCATCATTTGCCCTGAGCTCACACTCGATGCGGTAAGCCATGTGGTGAAATGGGCATTTAATGACATGTGAAGTGCTATATCGCTTTCCCTTACATGTGTAGGTATCTTCTTTACATTTCCCACAAGAACACACTGTTTGCGGATGGAATCCACACTCGCCTCCTTTCCACTTGTGAATGTCTCTGCAGTGGTATTTTGATAGTGCACGYAATCTTCTGGCATATTCTTTTGGCAACTTGCACTGTTGCAAACAGCAAAAGTGGTTTATTTTAGCGTTCAGAATGAATGGCTTTGACAAACAACCACACGATTKGTTGTGTCTTTTGCACTGACAACTTAAGCCCTCCATTTCTGGAAATGTCCCTTTCCAACGGCTTACTAGAGTGGCTGAAAACTGTTTCATTTTTGCAYAGTCGTTCAAGTTGTTTGCATGTGCACGTCCTACATGCCCCCCACACTTGAATACTCGTTGTGGATTGGTCCCCAAAACTTCTTCCACAGAGTTTTTGGAGCTCGAATCAGAATCCTGCCATACAATTGCAATGTCTGCTCCTTCCTCCTTGCACTGCCTGTAGCACTCTTCTGCAAGGACTCCTTCCATGGACTTTGCAGTGCCTTCATACAATTCTTCATCATCATTTGACCCTTTCATGCACTTGTGGCCAAACCACAACAGTCCACCGGTAAGGTAGTTCTTGATTATGAAAGAGCCGTTTTTGCTGAAATAGCCCCTTGTGTGCCACACACCATCAGAAGTCACCACCGCTCGCTTCCAACTTCCAAGAGTACCACTGTCAATGGCTTTCATGTTCTCCTTTTCCCTGTTACACATTTCGCATAGGATGTCATTTACATGTGGATACATCAATCCAAGGACTTCATAGAATCTGTTTTTGGATATGGCTGGGATCCCCAAGCACTGATTCAGGGTTTTCTTAAATTTTGCAAAACCATTGCCACAAATTATAAATGCAACCGCCAATGAAAGTCCAACGACCGTTCTCCTTGAGCTTTCAACCATAGAAGTTCCATTGAAACTTATGTCTCTTCCTTCACAGCCAGTGCATTGAAACACTATTGTTAGAGACCCTCCTAGACCAACAGTCTCTATTTTGGCTGGGACAAGAATACCTACAATGTCAATAAAATGTGTCACTACACATTTTGAAATATGTTTCTACAAATCAATCGCTTGATTTATTGATACAACTTTCTTGAGTAAATAATAGAAATAACATACATGTAAATACAAAAGATATATGCTAATACATCCTCGATATACACTGTAGTTGTTATTTATTTGCAGAGACAATCCTTTGTAAAACTGAGGTTCGACCTGGCACACTAATATACTAGAAGCATACATATATATAATATTATTTAGGTCTTTCGTACCTACCATTACAATTTTCAGTAGAGCATCGTGAAGTTTTGTTCAAATTTTCGACGAACTCTTGTATTTGTGTGGACTCACAAACAAACAACTGTCTCTCAATTGTAACTGGGCGATCGGCTACTACAAGCGGCTTTTTTGTTTTTTTAACAGGACTCGGTTGGTACTCTGAAATTTCAGAAAGGGAACTTTCGTCTGATGAATCTTCAATACATAAGCCTCGCTTCTTGATCTCTTCTTTTGCACTTGTATTGCTTCGATAGATTGACTTCCCAGGCGATATCAGTTGCTCTTTTTCTCCTTTAGAGTACTCGTGTACTTCGGACTCCCAGCCAACTGGCAGCTCAAAATCACGTCTGGAACCAGCCCCAACTCCCCTAATATGTGCTCCTTTTTTTCCTCTTTCAAATAGACTTTTCTTTTTAGCACTTTTTTTGACTTTTTCTTTACGTTTCTTGCCCATTTTCAAAATGGCTGACCATCATGAAAACACCAAATGACGTCAGTCTAATATTTGCACATGCTCAGAGACAAGACCGGAAGTAAAATGTTACTTCACGCCCTAATTTGTGGTTTTGCCTAGCAACGGAAAAATATGTCGCTGTAAAAAAGCCTGTGTATACCCCAGAAAGGTAGTTTTTTGTTCAATATGGCGGAGCAACATGGATGAGTTCGAAAAATGTCTATTTTGGACGGTTTAGTCGCGTAAAAGGAATACACAGCATGAATTGTCAGACGCCAGTAGACCTTATTGGACTTGATATGCTTTTTTTCGGTGACTATTTAAGATTTCAACACCAAAGCTGGTAGATATTCTTAATATACCCATACTAAGGTGCGATAGCTAGCGATGGAAATATACTTCGATTGATGCTTTTTTATAGCTTATCAAATCTTCTTGTTTTATTATTATCTGTGTTTCGTAAAGAATTCAAAATCCGGCGCGTCGCAAGGTATTGTACCTGCTTCTTGTGATGCTTTTTAAGAATATACATTCAATATGCGCAAATATATATTTTGAACGTCAACAAAAAAATAAAACGTAGATTTATGAAATTCGCGGGAAATCTAATAATCCAATTACCGAAAGGTATCAGATTTCAATATATATATATTTCTGTAGCTAGGTTAATTTTCTATTAATACACAAAGTTTGAAATATATAGGTGCATTTGCAACAAAGATGCAAAGCCTAAAAATGACCCAAAAATAGCCGGTGCGACTACCTTAACACTAAGCTTGGAACAAAATAGCCGACTACCATGTGCTTTTTGATCTCCCTTGATTCCTGGGTTACCACACAGAAAACTCAGCAATATGCGCTGATCGCTCGCTTCTGCAGCATGGCTGAGGGTAGTAGGTAAGAAATGTTTTATTCATGTTTCATCTTTCCTTTGTGATGTTTAATAAGATGCATATCTTATATATCTTATATCCTCTTATATATCTTATATAATTTTAGACATGGTCTTCCACAGGAAGCCCATGTAATAAAAAATCCTGCTTTATTTCTTTGTCATATGATATGCTACACATTGCGATAAGAGCGCAAATCACACTGAGGGTTTTGACAAATGTAGCCTTGTCTGCTAGGAATGAGATGTTTTGAGTTATGAATCCGAGCTTTCGCCGTCTACGGCATCATCAGGGAATGAGTAGGAAAATGCAAACTACAGTAACATTACACCAGGCGATCAAGCTTGTAATAAAGATGTCCAATAGGAGACCAGAAAATACTCAAAACAATAAATCTTGCAGCTCTTTACATTCTTCGCGTGAGTTGATTGAAGGCTTGAATGATTTTATATACAAAGCTTCTAAAAGTCGTAGGTTCACTGGATCCCTTTCTCTTGTTATTATACGCACTCTGATTTCCTTTGTATTTGGGCAGCAGGTGTCAAGATGGTTTGAAACAGAGGATTTGTTGGAAAGGTGTTCTTTCACTCTTTCGTGTAAATGTCTTATTGTACTTCCAATGTATTTGGATCCACACTCTACACATTTTATTTCGTAGACAACAGCACGTATGAAACACTTCTTGGAGTCTTTTAGTGGGCAGTTGTTGATTTTGCATGCATGTCTTTCTACAGTTTCTTTGAGTGCGTTCCGTAGGGTGTGCGACCGGTGCGAAACTCTCACTTTGAGGTCTTCATCCCGAAAGATTTTCTTGAGTTTGTTGTTAAAGTTATCCGATATGTAAGGAATATTMAGGTAGAGCCAATTTTCCTGGTTTCCGTCATTTGCGTACCGTTTTTCTCTGCGTTCGTGCGTTGCGTCGA